ACACACACACACACACACACACACAGAGAGAGAGAGAGAGAGAGAGAGAGAGAGAGAGAGAGAGAGAGAGAGAGAATTAAAAAGAAGATGCTTCCAAAGGCAGAAGTCACAAAGAATAGAAGTACTACATCTAACAACAGGAAACATTAAACTCTAACTAAAAACCTGATGGGTAAATGACAAAGTGTAAAAACAAAACCCTCTGCGGCATTTATGGCAGCAAGCGGGTATATGTGTGAATGGCCAAAGGCTCTCCCAGACAGTCACCCCACCCTCCAAGTTCTATCCTGTCCCTGTCAGTCATGGTTGCGGATGGCGGATTCAGTCTGCAGTCTGATCCCCTGGTTCCAAGGGTAGGGGGTGGTACATCGTAGTTTATTTTGCTGCTTTGGGCAAATTATCTAATCTCTTTCTGCTTCAGCTACCGGGACTGTAAAATGGAGGCGTAGGTATGGTCACAACAGCACCCGGAGACAACAGGGCCCACCCTCGGTGAGAACTAAATGAAATCCCATGGGGCTGACTCAGGTCAGGGGCTGCAGATATACCTAACTGGGGTCTCCTGATTCCACCTCCCTTTTCTTCTGAGCTTTGTAAAATGTCTCCATCTTCCTTCCTGCCAATCACACTCCTCCTGCCCTCCCCCTTCCATTCCCTCCATTCCCTCCCCTCTTCCCTCCCCTCCCCACCCTCTCTCCCCCTCCTTCTTGTGGCTCCTACCATCTCGGCCAGCTTGAGAATGGCAGGACACAGGGTGTTGACAGTGCTTTCATACCACGGGTCTGCTCGACCCAGGAAGGAAGCCAGCTCTCCCAGCTCAGGCTTTCTGGATGCTTCTGGATCCTGGGGAATTGGGGGATAAGGGGACAGACGCACCTGTCAGGCTCTCCCCTCCCAGCCTGGGTGCCCCAGATAGCAGAGCCCGGTGCTCTGTGACTGTGGTCGAGTCATTCTACCGCTTGGGCTCAGTTTCTCTACTGTGTGAAGACACGTTAGTGTTCTGTATCATAAACTCCAGTGGAGCGGAAGGGTTACTTGTCTGTGACACTGGAAAAACGCTGTTGACCTTTAAAGGGCAGAGGTGAGTATTGCTCGGCTCTTGTTCTGGCATGAGTGTGGCTTCAACTCTCCCCTACTCCCTTCAATATCAATGAAATCGGGTCATCTGCCTCAAACTTTCTCTTCTGTGGAGGGAGAGAGGGAGGGAGGGGAAGTCTCCCATGAGCTGAAAGCAAAGAATTGCAGTACAGCTAACCACACGCACTGTGAAGATTTTCTAGAGAGACAGTTTCTAAAAAATAACTCGAGCGAAGATGTTAAAACAACAAATGGACCGTGCTCGCTCAGGGCGGAATGGGCGTGGCCTTGAGTTCTGGCGACATCTGCGCCTGCGCTGACCTTGTCTCTCAACCCTGCATCTAAACAAAGCAGCTCTGAAAAACAGCCTAGCGTCTCGTTTACCGGAGGAAATTCTCTAGGATAAGTAAAACCGCTCGGGATTTTTTCTTACTTTTTAAACGTTGTGTAATTGTTTAAAACCACACCCTCTGAGCAAGATAGCGACATCAGGAATATAGACGCGGTGAAGGCAGGGTGACGCTCTTGAGAAGCCTGAACCCAAGCTTGGGTGCGTGACACCCTTTTCCTCAGTCTCTGCCTCTCTCCCAAAGCACGTGCTTTCTCATCTCCACTTAGTAAACTCACCAACCCTGCCCTGGCTCATCTACCGTGTAGTCAAGGTCTGGTTTTACTGAGTGGAGAGGTCCCCGAGGGGGAAACGCCTCAGTTTTATTGATCTGTACTGATAATTCCGTTACAAAGACAAGAGGAAGCCCTGCAGAGGGGAGGCTGCTGTGGCAAGACCTGTGTCTTGGCTTCTGACCTGGAAGACCCCTCCAAGTGTCTCTCAGCTCCACATTCTGAGGTGATGGTTCTGGTCCCTGAGCCAGGGAGCCAGGCTGCCAGTGGGTCCCCGCCCCTCCCTATCTTCTCTGATGAGACCTCTGCTCCCGACCCCTCCACTCTTTCCCATGGTCCCCTTGGTCCCGACCCCCCCCCCCCCCCCGCCCCGGTCCAGTCACCTGAGGAGCCAGCACGGGGATGTAGTAGAGTTGCAGACTGAGCCTAGGAGTGAGGCAGAACTTCTTGCTTTCCCGTTTCCTGGCAACAGGCAGCAAGGTAGGATGGGTAAGAGCTCGGGGTTGCGTGTTGGCATCAAAGAGTCTCGGCTTTGCCACTTATCCTGTATTGACTTTGGGCAATTTATATTATCTTTCTGAGCCTCGGTTTACCCATTTATGAAATGGGAACAGTTGTCATATCCTGTCAAGCTGATGGCTGGGCACTGGGGATTCTCTGCAGTGTTCTCCCTTACCCTCCCTGGCCTTGCTTCTGTCCCGGTAATACCTGTTCGGATCATTTCCCGGCTCCTTCCAGACCCACCCACACTCCCGACAACCCCAGTCCCTCCTCGGGGCCTTACCTGAGTCTATAGTAAGCCTGGGCCAAGCGTCCCAGCATCCTATCGTCTCCGAGCACGAGCACGCGGGCCGTATGCACCCTGGAGACTCCGGGCAGCAGTTCCCCGTCCCCACTGGGCCTGCCCGTCCTCCGGTGCAACCCCGGGGGCCCATCCCAGCTGCCAGGCATGGAGAAGTCGGGGGGCCACACGCGCTTCTTGATGCCTCCCCTGCGCTGCAGTGCGGCCCGCTCCATCTCCGAGCTGCTGGCGTCCGGGAGCTCATCACTCCCCAAAGGAAGGTCCCGCTCAATACCGCTGTCAGTGGACACCCGGGCCAAGTCCCAGTCTGGCCTAAATCCTTGTAGATCCAAGGCCTCCAAGTCAGCACTGAGGTGCATCTGGGAGCGTGGGCGAAGGAAGAGCACCAGTTCCTTCCCTGAGACAGGAGAAGAGGGGGAGCATCAGGATGGTAGGGACACCTGATATGGACAGGACAGCTCCCCGGAAATCTGGGACCCCTGTTTCTCAAACACTGTCCCCCTGAACAGAAGCCCCACGGGACACTCCACAAAGGGCAACGGTCCTGTGGTCAACAATGGTCCAGAGTTCTGTGCACTCTTCCCATTGAGGCCAATCAGTAAATGTGTTTCTCCTCTTTTTGAGATGGGGTCTCTATGTAGCCCTAGCAGTCCTAGAACTCACCATGTAGATAGACCAAGATGGCCTCAAACTCACAGAAATCCGCCTGCCATTGCCTCCTGAGTACAGGGATTAAAGGCGTGCACCACCATGCCCAGCCAATCAGTAAACTTATTAAAAGCTCTGGAGCCCCAGCACTAAAGAAATCAGCTTAACCCAGCACCTCCCACATTTAACTGACCCTGGAACCCTCCCAACCTCCCCCTTCCTGAATCTTCCCCTGGGACACAAATACCACCAGCTGACCCCCAGTATCTGACCACCAGGTCCAGGGAAGACTTGCAGGTTTTCCTAGCCCCCACTTCTAGGTCCAGAGAGAGAATGTACCGATCACGACCCAGCATGTAACAGGAAGTGTCGAGACCCAGTACTGCAGCCTAATACTTTCTACCACAATTGGTGTCCTTGTCCTCACTCTCTAGAAGAGCCAAGAAGATTGGGACAGGACACAAGAGTAGAGGGAAATGTCTGCTCTGGAAGGCCCCGTCAGGTCTGGGTATCACAATGGGTTCTGCTTGCCTCCCTTATGGGGACATTGACGGCGTTAGCGTGGGCATGAGACCAATGGCTAATGCACTGGACTCTTCCAACCTGGAGAAGATCTGGTCTTTGTCCAGACGTGTGGAGCAACTCAAAGAACAAAACTGGAACACAGGCAGGAGCCCAGACATGTGAACACACACGGACACACACCACTGTTCTCAGTCATTTCTACAGGGACTCAGAGGCTCAGGCACGTACAGAGCTGCTCCTGGTCGGTCCACAGATGGAAGGTGATGTAAGGGCTGGGCAGAGGGATGCTTGGCAGTCGGTCTTGGAGAAGGTCACCTGAAGAAAGGAGCAGGCTGTGGGGACTGTGGGGAGGAGGGTTGTAGACAAAATGAAAGTCCAGGAGACTGAGGGGATGGAGTCAACACAGGGCTGTCCTGCCCACTTTGTCCAGCCTGGGTTGCCAAGTTCAGGCCTCAGTGTCCTTGGTGCACTGGCCTCTGCTCTGGTCTCCTGCCCATTTCCCTGGCATCTTGTAACTGTTATGGCTAAAGAAGCTCCGTTTTATGCTAGGCATCCATCCTGGTACCCACCAGCCATTTGTCTCTGACTCCAGTCCCTGGAAGATAAGTTCCCGGTAATCCTGACTCAGTGACCCCCTCACCCAAAAATGTACAGCTGTGACTGTCTCCTTGTTATGATATGACTAACTGCTGTTTTTGCTTCAGTAACTTGCTGACGCAGATATCCAAAGAATGTTTTGAGTTGCCTTAATCACTTAACTTGGCAGAACAGAACAGTTTTTACTTGCTTGCATGGATATGAAAGGTCTTCATGTGGCTTTCCCCTTAAAAGTCCTCCCCGCATCCCTCCTTCACGGCAGTGTCAAATCTGGCTCAGAAAGATCGGTCCTGCTAGCAACTAATCAATAACGCTTTTTAATTATAATTGGATTGAGTCTACGGTCTTTCCCCAGGGGTCACACACTCCATAGGCAGTAACTACTGTGGGTGCAGTCAGTGACCATATGTTCTGACGCACTCAGGCTGACACATTCCCTGGGTGCTTTGAGTGACTGTGTAACAGGACACACACAGGAATCATCCTATCACAACCAGGACACACACACATTCTGGGTTGTTAAAGCCCACTCATGGAACTTACTCCTGTGTGGGGATAGCATTGCTTTATCAACATTCAAAATAGAAAGGAGGTGTGCAGGGTACAAACCGTCCCAAGGGACAAATAACGCCAACACCTAGTACTTCCCATTCTGTGGAGGTGTTCTAGGGATCCAATGTGTTGGCTACTACGTATGCCAGAACAAGATTCGAGTCCTGGCTCTGCTGCTCACTAGCTGAGTGACAGTCTGCAGACATTTTCATCTCTTTCTAAATCAGTTTCTAAATCTCCTCTGTAAAATGGGGGCAAGGATCGTTTCTTAACTTTGCAAATTATTTGATTTGGCATGCCATAGACTTAAATCATGTTAAATATTTAGAGTAGCTAATGGGATAAAGCGGGGTGCTTTGCAGGTGTGGGCTATCATGATCCTATTAGCCACATGCTTAGCCCCAGGGCCTGCCAACTCTCTAAGCTTTTCTCTAGGTCCCCAGGGATCCTAGGATCTATGGTGTCTGCTCCTTCTGAAATCTCATTCTGTCTAGCTTAGCTCTTCTGCGCCCCCTGCGGTCGGCGGTCCCTTGGCAAGTCCCCCCACCCCCCACCCCCCCACCCCCGCTTACCTATGCAGCATTTTCTTGTGGCCGCTGGCCCTAGCAGTGAGCAGTAAATCGCCTCGAGTCTCTCCAGGTGTCCCAGCCGGCTGGGACTGTCCTCACTAGCCACCTGCTCTATGGCAGCCACTACGGCGTGGAAATAGTGTTCCAGGAGGCGACGGGAGCTGGCCTACAAGGGGGGACATCAGAGCCTGAGTCCTATTCACTGCCCTATCCACCAACCTATGCCCTACCACACTCCTATGCCAAATTTGGCAGGACCACCAACAGTCCAGCATGGCACCTCCCTTAGACTCCCAGGGGGCTGGGCAGGAGCTGCCTGGTGAAGGATTGGAGATTCCATATCCAGAGCCTGGGTTTCTGCCAGGCTATGGCTGTGGCCCCCTGTTACCTGTGGGTAGGCAGTGGGGCTCCTCTCTGGCTTTCATACCCTATAATGGGGAGGTAGCTATGAAGAATCCACCAAAATAAGGGATTCAAGATGTGGGGTTCAGACTGGACAATTCCAGAAGGAGAGCAATGCTCCGATACAGTTTGAATGGGCAGAGCCAGGTTTGAATAATGAGCTGAGGGGAAAAAAAATTGCTCATATCCTCCCCACTTTCTGAATCAGGGCCAGCAGGGGACAACTGAACCGTCCCTCTGGGTGCCTGGCTCCACCTGCTGCAACAGTTCTAAGCCCGGTCAAGCCTCTCCATCTTCAGCCCGCATCCAATCCAGTCTTACCCAGCTTTCCTTGCCACCCACAGAAATTCATTCCTAACGGCACCAGTCCAGGGATGAGTAAGTGTCGGGAAGAGCTGGAATGCCCCACCACGGGAGTCATTTTTGGGCACTGGCTAAATGTAACAGCAAATGCATACCGTGTAGCCATTACAAGTACACGCTTCCCAAGGGATATGCTTGCACAGGCCGTGTTTACGATGTCATGGGAAATACATACATTATATGAAGCAGTTGCAGAGTTCCATAGCTCCATGTGTTAAAAAGGAGTCAGGGTTGGGGGCCAGAAGACAAGGGGTCAAATTTGAGCTCAGTCTCTTTGTTTCTGTGTGAGCATGAGTAGATGACCACTTTCTCTGTGCCTTAGTTTCCCATCTATAAAAGTGTAGCTGCATTTCATAGTGCTGTGGGAGAACTTCAAAATGTGATCAGGTTTAGCTCAGTGCCTCAAACAGACGATAAACTGGCTACTAAATCTTCAATGTCATCTTTACTAAGGAAATATACCAAATGTTCATTTCTGTTATTTCTAAGTAGAGAGGCTGTGAGTGATTTCTATCTTTGTCTTCAAGGGACTTATCTGTATCTTTCATATTTCCTTTAAGAAACATGTATGAATTGCTGATTTGTGGGGGAAAGGGTGACATGGACCAGAAGCAGGAAGAGTACAGCAGTGCCTATGATGAATGCCCAGGGTGTTAATTACCTGCAGCTTCCTGTTCAGAGCACCGGTGTGGCAGGCGTCCCCCAGAGCTGCCTGCAGGGCGTGGGCGACCACGTGGCGCATGCAGGCCTCAGGTGTCTGCTGCTCCTGGGCCGCCTCAATCTCCAGCAGCAGGGCGCTGCACACGGAGGCGGAGACCAGCTCAGGGTCCACAAACAGGAACACTCTGGGGGCAAGAGTGGAACGGAGGTGCTGGATGGACACCCCCAAAAGCTTGCATGGACACCCCAATTATGTAATGCCTTTGATAACAAAAGCAGTTTCCCATGGTTAATTCCCTTTAAAAGAAAAGCTTCAGATGCAAAAACCCCTAAGTGGGACCACAATCAGGAGAAGCGGGGACTGAGGCAGGCAGGAGGCTCAGGGCCCTTTCAGAGGGGCAGCTGGAGTTCCCTCAACCGCATGGTCCCATGTGGAGGAGCAGGTTAAGTCCTTCATGCAGGGAAGTTCCAGCCTGAGTCCACTTTCTGGTCCTCATCATCCTGGCCCAGTGCTCATCACCCTCGGGGGAGACCTTCAACCTCTCCTTCTGGTACTGGAGCTCTGGACCCACATAACTAAACCTCATCTTTGCTCATCACCCCGATCACACCAGAAAACTGACTCACCCACACTTTCCTTCCTCAGGAAACCATGCCATGCTCTCCCCTCCAGCACTGAGTCCCCCGATGCCCTTTCCCTCAGTACCCTTCCCGAGCATAGCTCTCAAGTCTCCAACCTACAAGGTGCCAGGCAGCTAAATCCACAGACTTGCCTGCAGCAGGGAGAGGCACTTACTCCCCCACCCCCACCAGTTGTCTTCTGAACAGGAGCGAGGGACACGCTCCCACCTTATCTAAGAGCTGAGGATTCCCTGAGGCAAGCCCCAGGGTTCAGTCCCTGCAGCTGCCTCTGGCTGCCTGGCTTGATTGGATGTGGCTTCTTTGTGGCACAGAACAGGGTACAGGGAGGCACAAGAAGGGAACAGTGGCGTTGCCCTGGGCCATGTGCTTCTTCTGCACATGAGGACCAGGGTCACTCTGCACCCAGCCAAAGAAGAAAGGCCCAGAAAACTGATACAGCTGCCACCCTTGAACTGGAAGTGCATGTCACTGTTGGGCCAGTGTGGAAGCTCTGTTGAGAGTTATTCTTCACCTGGCCTCCTCATTTGTTCTCCTGCCAGGGAACAGTTGCCAGGTACCCAGCCCTTGGAGGGAGCTGAGGGTAGCAGTCACAACCAGGCCTCTTACCTCTCCTGGTAAGGGTACAGTTCACTCATCAGGTTCTGCTCTGCAATGACAGTCCTTTGGAACAGGGTACCTGCAAACCAGATCACATCAGCGAGCCAGCCTCTGGGTCTCTGACTCCAATTCTCCTGGAAGGAGCCCAGAGGTTGAAGGTTTCCCCCGAGGGTTTTGAGCTCTTTGGCATCCTGGAGAAAGCAGCCTGATATTGGGTGGTACTGCATTGCCACACGGGAGATGCCCAGCACCTCTCACCTGGGACGGCTGCCTCTGTTTTCAGCCTTATGGCACAGTCCAAGGCGACCGTAGAGTAAGGGGCAGGCAGGGTCAGCAGCCTGGTGCAGAAGGTGTAAGCTCTATGGTAGAGATCTTCCGTGATGCCTGTGGCCTGCTGAGAGGGAGGGGTTGGCGCTCTAGGTCTTGAAGGGTCTGGGTTGGGGTGGATTAGAGCAGGTGCGAAAGAAGGAAGGCTGGGACGGACAGCCAGACTGGCTCCGTGCTCTCCACATCCTCTGGTTACAGTCTCTCCTCCCAGCATCTGTGGGAGCTCCCTACAACACCTTAGCAAGACAGAAATTCACCCTACGTTCTCAGCAGGCCAGTTCTCTCCCGGCCTTAAAGCTGGAGCTATGTGGTGTATTTCTGAGCATCTCCGGGTTTGGAAACCTGGAGCCACTTCCTAAGTCTCTGCACCTCCATGAATCTCACAGGCATGAGGTACCCTTCTTTTCCTCCCCTCCCCCTTCTTCCTCAATGTGCTTGACTCCTTTGTCCCAGCCCCATCCTCATCCCAGATGCTGCAGTGACACTCCCCACACCCCACCACCAGTTCCTCTAACCAGGGGTGTAAACCATTGTTTTCTCATGTCTCATCTCCATGTAGAGACCGCCGGTCATAAGAAGGCAATAGTTCTGGTCCATGTTTAGGATGATGTACATTTAGAGTTCATCAGAGAGTCATAGACAAGCATAAGCCCTTCCTCCCCTAGCTTGTCTCAAAACTCCGAGTTGGAAAAAGGAGGCAGTTTTAAGCCCCAGGATATTTGTTAGATAAGGCTTTGCATCCTGGACCAGTAGGATTGGGAGTTGGGGATGGGATTGTGCTGGAGGAGCGTGAAGATGGTAATTCTACAGGGAGAGAGGGCAGAGATTTCTCAAAACCAGGGACTTTATAAACCCCTGTCATGCGCCAAAATGCCACACCAGCCATTTTTGCCTTCTACCTTGGAGGCCTATTCTGCAGAATTGATTATTAAAAATGGTTTTGTGCCGGGCAGTGGTGGCACATGCCTTTAATCCCAGCACTTGGGAGGCAGAGGCAGGTGGATCTCTGTGAGTTCAAGGCCAGCCTGGTCTATAAAGTAAGTTCCAGGACAGCCAGGGCTGTTTACACAGAAAAACCATATTTCAAAACAAACGAAAGAGTTTTGTTTTCTCTAGTCTCTTGAATTTGTTGTTACAGAGTGAGGGTCTTGTTGCTCACAATGATGACACACGAATGAACAACCCAAGGACCCACACACTGTCGAAGACTCTATTTGTTCACCACACTGTCTTGACTGCCCCATTGCCTGTGCAATTTTACCTCTGGGTAGAGGGGAAAGACAGAGTGTATGGGAAGGCCAGCCCAGGCTTGCCCTAGCAGAGGTTAGGTGTCAACAAGGATGACAGGACAGGGCCCTGTGACTTGACGTTCCTGTCATGTGGGTGCTGGGAACTGAACCTGGATCCTCTGGAAGAGCAGCCAGTGCTCGTAGCCACTGAGTCATCTCTCCCAACCTGTCACTCATGCTTGGTCCCAGAATAGATGATCTCTTAAGCCCTTTGAGAATTGTGACGAATTTCCCCCAGCCTCAGGTGAGTCACCTTGACCCCAACCCCATCTCACCTTAGTGAGCACGTACATTAGCGTGAGTAGCAATGGAATGATGACATGACGCACATCCTCGCTCTCTGCCTGGAAAACAGGAGACCCTGGCATCATGCTGGGCTGGGGGCTCTAGGGAGCATCACGTCCTAGCTACAGAGGGCAGGTTAGGCGGGGGGGGGGGGGGGGGGGGGGGGGGGGGGGGGATTAGGTGGAAGGCAGTAATAGAGTGTGCCAAGGGGAGTGGCCTGCTGCAGAGAGGGGGAAAAGGGAACAGGGTAGGGAGCAGCGAGGATGGGGAAGCCCTCTGGGAGGGGCGGGGCAGATGGAGGAATCCTCGTGCAAGGCAGGTAGGATGGGAGAGCCGCATAGATCCCACACGGGAGCCAAAGCTAATTGGCAAGCAAGGCCACAATGGGAGCGGTGTGTCCCAAGCAGCAACATGCAGGACGTGGACAATTTTAAGTAGTACAAGGATAAGCCTTAACGGTGGCACACATATGTGCAGAATATGTGCATCTTTTATTTCTGCCATGGCTATGTTAGTGAGTTTCTTTTTGAAATATGCTAACTCAAGTAACGATGGGAGTGGATGGATAGAAATAGTGCTGAGGTAGAAGTCAATGAAGAAGACGAGCCCGGTAAAAATCAAGCATATGGCCCACAAACGACACAAGTTTGGGAGCACAGAGCTGCACGGGTGGACCCCCAACCTGATGGGGCTCCTCTCTTCACCCCACCCCTGCTGCCTCCCTCAACCTTGAGCACCAACCTTCTCCAGCTCTCTGAGGAGAATTCGGACCAGCACGGAGCTCTTTCCTGGATCTCGCTCTACCTTCTTGTGCAGAGACCATCTCCACATACCTGGGCCAGGAGAAAGGGGGGCCCATCATGGCTGAGTGGGTCAGAGGATCTCAGAGGCTATTCCCCTGAGCCCCGGATCCTAGAGTGCGGTTGGCCAGCTACATCTGACCCTGTAGTCAGAGCTGACCCCGGGTGCACGAGGTGAGCTCCTCTCATGGCTCTTTCTGGACAGCGAGCTCCCACTAACAAGGGGAGGGGTCAAGAGGGGACAGAG